GGTGTTGTTATGGTGTGAGGGATCCATTCCGCCTTGTATCAACAGCTCAGGCTGGTGGTGTCATGTGGGGGAGATTTTCTTGGCACTAGCAAGGTGGACCTAATAAAGTGGCCGATGAGTGTTTGTCAAAATTAAGTGTGCCTTCAAAGTGACAGTACCCAAAACTGTCCATAGAGGACGCTTTAATAAATTTTACAGGTTATGGATTTGGAGTTTAATGTCAATGAGGGCTCCAGAGTTATGGATGTCACTCTGACATGTGCGGCAATACCCAATAAGTGGGCTGTGACACCCAATATTCCTCCACAGGCTGTAGTCTCATACAGACCGCCCTAGGTAACGCCCACATGTGACACTGGGCCTCCATGATTGCAAGAACTGAATTCCAATGAATGAAAGGGGTGGGGCCAGGGACAGTCAGGCTGGGGAGGAGAAGGCTAGATGATGCCGGACATCCTCCAGCCAGGAAATGAGGCGGAGCTCTATCTGACTTGCTGCAGCTTCTAATGCACATTGTGAGAAGCTCACAGTCTGCAGTGAATTCAGAGTGAGCCATTTCAGTACAGGAGAGGAGCCGCTACATCTGTTCAAGAATGAAGGGGAGAAGCCGCTATACCTGTGCAGGACTGAAAGGGAGGGGACGGGACATCTGTGCAAGACTGAAGGGGAGGAGCCGCTACACTTGTGCAGGACTGAAGGCAAGGAGCCGGTACAACTGTGCAGGACTGAAGGGAGGAGCTGGTACACCTGTGCAAGACTGAAGGGGAGGAGCCAGTACACCTGTGCAAGAGTGAAGGGGAGGAGCCGGTACACCTCTGCAGGACTGAAGGGGAGGAGCCGGTACACCTCTGCTGGACTGAAGGGGAGGAGCCGGTACACCTGTGCAAGACTGAAGGGGAGGAGCCGGTACACCTGAGCAAGACTAAACGGGAGGAGCCGGTACACCTGTGCAAGACTGAAGGGGAGGAGCCGGTACACCTGAGCAAGACTAAACGGGAGGAGCTGTAACACCTGTGCAAGACTGAAGGGGAGGGGCCGGTACACCTGTGCAAGACTACACGGGAGGAGTCGGTACAACTGTGCAGGAATGAAAGGAGGAGCCGGTACACCTGTGCAAAATTGAAGGGAGGAGCTGGTACACCTGTGCAGGACTGAAGGGGAGGAGCCAGTACACCTGTACAAGACTAAAGGGGAGGAGCCGGTACACCTGTGCAAAATTGAAAAAATGTGTAAATGCATTCCAAACTTGTAGATTTGTATTTATAAAGGCATACAGTATATTTGAGATCTATTTTAAAAAATATTTTTAATATATTTTGTAATTAAAATGTATTTCAACATGAAGTATGTATGTCTATATATATATATATATATGTGTGTATATACTGTACATGTATATTTATATATACTGAATACGCCCAACATTGTAACATTTCAAATACATGTCAATATATTTGGGAAGAATATTTTTAAAATATATTTCATATATACAGTCATGGCCGAAATTGTTGGCACCCTTGATATTTTTCCTGAAAATCAAGTATTTCACACAAAAAAGGTATTGCATTAACACATGTTTTGCTATACACATGTTTATTCCCTTTGTATGTATTGGAACAAATATAAAACAGAGGCAGAAAAGCAAATATGACATAATGTCACACAAAACCCCAAAAATGGGCTGGACAAAAGTATTGGCACCCTTAACTTAATATTTGGTTGCACACCCTTTGGAAAACATAACTGAAATCAGTCGCTTCCTATAACCATCAATAAGCTTCTGACACCTCTCACTTGGAATTTTGGACCACTCTTCCTTTGCAAACAGCTCCAGGTCTCTCTTTATTGGAAGGACACCTTTTCCCAACAGCAATTTTAAGATCTCTCCACAGGTGTTCAATGGGATTTAGATCTGGGCTCATTGCTGGCCACTTCAGAACTCTCCAGCGCTTCTTTGCCATCCATTTCTGAGTGCTTTTTTGACGTATGTTTGGGGTCATTGTCCTGCTGGAAGACCCAGGATCTTGGACGCAAACCCAGCTTTCTGACACTGGGCCCTACAGTGCGACCCAAAATCCTTTGGTAATCCTCAGATTTCATGATGCCTTGCACACAGTCAAGGCACCCAGTGCCAGAGGCAGCAAAACAACCCCAAAACATCATTGAACCTCCACCATATTTTACCGTAGGTACTGTGTTTTGTTCTTTGTAGGCCTCATTCCGTTTTCGGTAAACAGTAGAATGATGTGCTTTACCGAAAAGCTCTATCTTGGTCTCATCTGTCCACAAGACGTTTTCCCAGAAGGCTTTTGGCTTACTCAAGTACATTTTGGCAAACTGTAGTCTTGCTTTTTTATGTCTCTGTGTCAGCAGTGGGGTCCTCCTGGGTCTCCTGCCATAGCGTTTCATTTCATTTAAATGTCGACGGATAGTTCGCGCTGACACTGATGCTCCCTGAGCCTGCAGGACAGCTTGAATGTCTTTGGAACATGTTTGGGGCTGCTTATCCACCATCCGGACTATTCTGCGTTGCAATCTTTCATCAATTTTCCTCATCCGTCCACGACCAGGGAGATTAGCTACAGTGCCATGGGTTGCAAACTTCTTGATAATGTTGCGCACTGTGGACAAAGGCAAATCTAGTTCTCTGGAGATGGACTTGTAACCTTGAGATTGTTGATATTTTGCCACAATTTTGGTTCTCAGGTCCTCAGACAGTTCTCGTCTCCTCTTTCTGTTGTCCATGCTTAGTGTGGCACAGACAGACACACAATGCAAAGGTTAAGTGAACGTCTCTCCTTTTTATCTGCTTTCAGGTGTGATTTCTATATTGCCCACACCTGTTACTTGCCCCAGGTGAGTTTACAGGAGCATCACATGCTTGTAACATTCTTATTTATCCGCAGTTGTGAAAGGGTGCCAATACTTTTGTCCAGCCCATTTTTGGAGGTTTGTGTGACATTATGTCGAATTTGCTTTCTTTCCTCCCTTTTTTTGTTTTGTCCCAATACACACAAAGGGAATAAACATGTGTATAGCAAAACATGTGTTAATGCAATACGTTTCGTGAGAAATACATGATTTCCTGGAGAAATATCAAGGGTGCCAACAATTTCGGCCATGACTGTATATTTCTTCCATGTGGGTGGGATCGGCAGCAAGGTGAAGACGAATTGTAGAAATTGTATTCAGATGCGGAGTGAAAATAGTTCCAGAATACAAGCTACACTTACGTGTTTCAGTCTACGTTACTCATCGTTTGATGGAAACACGTAAGTGTAGCTTGTATTCTGGAACTATTTTCACTCCGCATCTGAATACAATTTTTTACAATTCGTCGTCACCTTGTGGCCGATCCTCTATGATTTGATTTACTGCTTCGGCGGATGGAAACCGAAGGAGTCGCACACGGTGAGATCGGGAGTCCTTTAGGGAAAGCATGCTATGAGGGTTGCAGCACCTATTCTTTGCATGTGTGATGTGGCCTCTAGACATCAAGGCCCACCTGTTGAAAGGCTGCATGTGTGCCCTCAGTGTACCCTCAGCATGCCCCCAGCGTACCCTCAGCATATCCTCAGCGTGCCCTCAGCGTACCCTCAGCATGCCCTCACCGTACCCTCAGCATGCCCCCAGCGTACCCTCAGCACGCCCTCAACGTATCCTCAGAATGCCGTCAGCATGCCTCAGCGTACCCTCAGCATGCCCCCAGCATACCCTTAGTGTACCCTCAGCGTGCCCTCAGCGTACCCTCAGCATATCCTCAGCGTACCCTCAGTGTACCATCAGCGTGCCCTCAGTGTACCCTCAGTGTACCCTCAGCGTACCATCAGCGTGCCCTTAGCGTACCCTCAGTGTGCCCTCAGCGTGCCCTCAGCGTACCCTCAGCGTACCATCAGCGTGCCCTCAGCGTGCTCCCAATGTACCATCAGTGTGCCCTCAGCGTGACCCCAACGTACCCTCAGCGTGCCCTCATCGTACTCTCAGCATGCCCCCAGCGTACCCTCAGCATACCCTCAGCGTACCCTCAGCATGTCCTCACCGTACTCTCAGCATGCCCCCAGTGTACCCTCAGCATGCCCTCAACGTATGCTCAGAATGCCGTCAGCATGCCCTCAGCGTACCCTCAGCATGCCCCCAGCATACCCTCAGTGTACCCTCAGCGTGCCCTCAGCGTACCCTCAGCATATCCTCAGCATACCCTCAGTGTACCATCAGCGTGCCCTTAGCGTACCCCTCAGTGTGCCCTCAGCATGCCCTCAGCGTGCTCCCAATGTACCATCAGTGTGCCCTCAGTGTGACCCCAACGTACCCTCAGCGTGCCCTCAGCGTACCCTCAGCTTGCCCTCACCGTACCCTCAACATGCCCCCAGCGTACCCTCAGCGTAACCCTCATCATGCCCTCAGCGTACCCTTAGCATGCCCTCAGCATACCCTCAGCGTGCACCCAGCGCACCCTCAGCAGGCCCTCAGCGCACCCTCAACGTACCCTCAGAGTGCCCTGAGCATACCCTCAGCGCACTCTCAGCGTGCCCTCAGCATACCCTCAGCATGTCCCCACTGTACCCTCAGCGTACCCTCAGCATACCCTCAGCATGCCCCCAGCATACCCTCAGCGTACCATCAGCATGCCCTTAGCATGCCCTCAGCGTGCCCTCAGCATGCCCTCAGCATGCTCCAAATGTACCATCAGTGTGCCCTCAGCTTGACCCCAACGTACCCTCAGCGTGCCCTCAGCATACCTTCAGCGTGCCCTCAGCGTACCATCAGCGTGCCCTTAGTGTGCCCTCAGCGTACCCTCAGCGTGCCCCCAGCACACCCTCAGCAGGCCCTCAGCGTGCCCCCAGCGTACGCTCAGCGTACCCTCAGCGTGCCCTCAGCGTACCCTCAGCGTACCCCCAGCGTACCCCCAGTATTTTATTATCACATGGATGATGAGAGAGGGGGGTAATCAGAGAAAGTGCAATAGAAGCAGAATTACCATCAGCTTTAAAGAAACGTACCTGGAAGAGCGAAAAGGAGGGCGGATAAGAAGTAGGGATTTTCTACATAACAAGAGGAGAGGTCACATTCCTGGTCCCATGGTGCTGTCTTTGTCATGCAGGTGATGACGTAGAAGTCCCTAAAATTCTTCACAATATTCAGATTTGGGACTATTGGGCAGGAAACTTGTAATCCCGTCCCCAACCGTAAACGAATATTCTTCTTATAATCCTCCGGAGGGATCCAATGATAGTCGTCCTCCCAGCCTGACGTAAAGAATTTGTTTTTACTTATGGAGCAAAACATGAATCCATCGGATAGTCCTGGAAAGGGAGATTTGGGTCACATATCATCAAAGCTAGACATAATGAAAGGCCAGGACAAGGGGGGGGGGGGCAGGAGGGGCGGCTGCCCTGAGCGCAATCGTTTCCTGTAGGGATGGGGAAGCCTTCCTTCTGTTACTGGGTAGACAGGAGAAGTGACAGCGGCCATGGTTTTGACTAGCAAGTGACTGCTGGGCGTAGGATCCCCTAAACTTGCACATCATGAATGGGGGGAGGGCAGTTTGGCATCTTTGCCCTGAGCGAGGATAAACTTGTACCCAACAATATCCCATTTACCAATGTTAGGCATGTGATACGCATTAGTACCCGCCCCCAAGGATCTGACAATCTAAGGGCACTATCTCATCTATATACTTGCAGACATATACTGGGGCCAATTAAGTACTGACAGAAGCCAATTATAATCATCCAAAAGTACTGTACATGTCATCCAATCCCATATACTGTATACACGTCATCCAATACATGTCCCATATACTGTATACATGTCATCCAATCCCATATACTGTATCCCATACACGTCATCCAATCCCATATACTGTATACACGTCATCCAATCCCATATACTGTATACATGTCATCCAATCCCATATACTGTATACATGTCATCCAATCCCATATACTGTATACACGTCATCCAATCCCCATATACTGTATACATGCAATCCATCCAATCCCATATACTGTATATGTCATCCAACATATACTGTATAAATGTCATCCAATCCCATATACTGTATACATGTCATCCAATCCCATATACTGTATACATGTCATCCAATCCATATACTGTATATATGTCATCCAATCCCATATACTGTATACATGTCATCCAATCCCATATACTGTATACATGTCATCCAATCCCATATACTGTATATATGTCATCCAATCCCATATACTGTATACATGTCATCCAATCCCATATACTGTATGTGTCATCCAATCCCACTGTATCATGTCATCCAATCCCATACTGTATACATCCAATCCCATATACTGTATACATGTCATCCAATCCCATATACTGTATACATGTCATCCAATCCCATATACTGTATACATGTCATCCAATCCCATATACTGTATACATGTCATCCAATCCCATATACTGTATACATGTCATCCAATCCCATATACTGTATACATGTCATCCAATCCCATATACTGTCATCCAATCCCATATACTGTATACATGTCATCCAATCCCCATATACTGTATACATGTCATCCAATCCCATATACTGTATACATGTCATCCAATCCCATATACTGTATACACGTCATCCAATCCCATATACTGTATACATGTCATCCAATCCCATATACTGTATATATGTCATCCAATCCCACTGTATACTGTATATATGTCATCCAATCCCATATACTGTATACATGTCATCCAATCCCATATATATACTGTCATATACATGTCATCCAATCCCATATACTGTATACATGTCATCCAATCCCATATACTGTATACATGTCATCCAATCCCATATACTGTATACATGTCATCCAATCCCATATACTGTATACATGTCATCCAATCCCATATACTGTATACTGTACACGTCATCCAATCCCATATACTGTATACATGTCATCCAATCCCATATACTGTATACATGTCATCCAATCCCATATACTGTATACATGTCATCCAATCCCATATACTGTATATATGTCATCCAATCCCATATACTGTATACACGTCATCCAATCCCATATACTGTATACATGTCATCCAATCCCATATACTGTATACACGTCATCCAATCCCATATACTGTATACATGTCATCCAATCCCATATACTGTCCAATCCCATATATATGTCATCCAATCCCATATACTGTATACATGTCATCCAATCCCCTGTATACATAATCCCATATACTGTATACATCATCCAATCCCATATACTGTATCATGTCATCCAATCCCATATACTGTATACATGTCATCCAATCCCATATACTGTATACATGTCATCAATACAATCGTCATCCAATCCCATATACTGTATATATATGTCATCCAATCCCATATACTGTATATACTGTATACATGTCATCCAATCCCATATACTGTATATATGTCATCCAATCCCCATACATGTCATCCAATCCCATATACTGTATACATGTCATCCAATCCCATATACTGTATACATGTCATCCAATCCCCCATATATCCATATACTGTATACATCATCCAATCCCAGTACATACCATCCAATCCCATATACTGTATACACGTCATCCAATCTGTATACCCATATACTGTATGTCATCCAATCCCCATATACTGTATACACGTCATCCAATCCCATATACTGTATACATGTCATCCAATCCCATATACTGTATATACATGTCATATACAATCCCATATACTGTATACACGTCATGTCATACATGTCATCCATCCCATATACTGTATACATGTCATCCAATCCCATATACTGTATACATGTTCATCCCAATCCCATATATACTGTATACTGTCATCCAATCCCATATACGTCATCATGTCATCCAATCCCATATACTGTATACATGTCATCCAATCCCATATACTGTATACATGTCATCCAATCCCCTGTATACATATACTATATACATGTCATCCAATCCCATATACTGTATACACGTCATCCAATCCCATATACTGTATACACGTCATCCAATCCCATATACTGTATACACGTCATCCAATCCCATATACTGTATACATGTCATCCAATCCCATATACGTCATCCAATCCCCATATACTGTATACACGTCATCCAATCCCATATACTGTATACACGTCATCCAATCCATATACTGTATACACGTCATCCAATCCCATATACTGTATATATGTCATCCCATATACTGTATGTCATCCAATACACCACATATACTGTATACATGTCATCCAATCCCATATACTGTATAATCCAATCCCATATACTGTATACACGTCATCCAATCCCATATACTGTATATACATGTCATCCAATCCCATATACTGTATACACGTCATCCAATCCCATATACTGTATACACGTCATCCAATCCCATATACTGTATACATGTCATCCAATCCCATATACTGTATACGTCATCCAATCCCATATACTGTCATCCAATCCCATATACTGTCATCCAATCCCATATACGTCACGTCATCCAATCCCATGTCATCCAATATACTGTCATCCAATCCCATATACTGTATACACGTCATCCAATCCCATATACTGTATATACACGTCATCCAATCCCATATACTGTATACACGTCATCCAATCCCATATACTGTACACGTCATCCAATATACTGTATACATGTCATCCAATCCCATATACTGTATACACGTCATCCAATCCCATATACTGTATACATGTCATCCAATCCCATATACTGTATACACGTCATCCAATCCCCATATACTCCAATCCCATATACTGTATACATGTCATCCAATCCCATATATGTCATCCAATACATCATCCAATCCCAATATACTGTACGTCATCCAATCCCATATACTGTATACATGTCATCCAATCCCATATACTGTATACACGTCATCAATCCCACTGTATACACGTCATCCAATATACTGTAAACATGTCATCCAATCCCATATACTGTATATACGTCATCCAATCCCATATACCAATCCCCCATATACTGTATACACGTCATCCAATCCCATATACTGTATATATATGTCACGTCATCCAATCCCATATACTGTATATATATGTCATCCAATCCCATACTGTATACTGTCATCCAATCCCATATACTGTCATCCAATCCCATATACTGTATATATGTCATCCAATCCCAATACTGTATATCATCCAATCCCATATGTCATATATGTTCATCCAATCCCATATACTGTATACATGTCATCCAATCCCATATACTGTATATATGTCATCCAATCCCATATACTGTATACATGTCATCCATCCAATCCCATATACTGTATATATGTCATCCATCCCATCATCCAATCCCATATACTGTATACAAGTCATCCAATCCCATATACTGTATACATGTCATCCAATCCCATATACTGTATACATGTCATCCAATCCCATATACTGTATACATGTCATCCAATCCCATATACTGTATACACGTCATCCAATCCCATGTACTGTATATATCTCATCCAATCCCATATACTGTATACACGTCATCCAATCCCATGTACTGTATCAGGATATGAAGTCGCCAGAAGTCCCTGATGAAGTCACGTGGTAACGTGATGTAACGCGTGGGACGTGGTAACACACTTCCAGCCGTGCTGACACAACTTCCGGCATGGACGCCATCTTGGGACTCCAATAAGGATCCATGTAAAGTACACCCATAGCATGTGGTTATGTACAACGGCATATGTTTGAACTGTAAAATGTGAGTGGGACTTGTAATATTTTAGTAAAATAAAACTTTAATACACTATGGGAGCATCTTCCTTTCCCTCATTGGCCGTGTGTGAGGAGTGACCATTTCCGGGACAACTTTGAGGAGGCTGCTTGCGGTACCTTTGCACACCAGTGAGAGGGATTGACACTACTTTGGACCTTACATCTGCAGGAGGGGGGGTCCAGATTCCTGATCGGTGTGGTATATTCCTAAAAGGGGTTTTGACCCTGTAGGGTCGCTTCATGGAGGTGAGAGGCCATTTCACATAGTGTGGGACTCCCGTCATCTAGCTCTGTATACACATATACAAAAAGGACTACAGAACACCTCCACCATTTAGGTGGTTTTGGACTTAAACATT